TTGTATGTCTACAGGAGGAGAGAACTGGGAATGATTAGTGAGCAGAACTAATGACCATTCTATTATCCACTCTATTCAATGATCTATTTAAAAATCTATCAAATGAACTGGGACAAAGGGCCCATGTCTTACAAATAAGGACACATGCTGATGTATGCTTATGCTACTTTTATCTAGGATTCCAGGGGTCCTGGGGATAGCCACTCTCTTCCCATGCAGTACTAACTTCTCTATCTGAGCTTCTGACCCTTTATATTCTTCTTCTTATTATTTTAGTAGTAATGAGGATCAAAACTAAGGAAATCACCTCATGTTTTCTGGAAGGTTGCTCACCAATCCTCCTTAGCTGTTTGTCCTGTTCAGCCTAGTCCTGTGTCCATTTGTTCAAACTCACAAAGTCATTTTGTCTATAGTTTTCTATTCTCCAGCCCTACTAGCAGGCCAATCCCAAATCCTTCTCCCTACTGATCACCTAGTGTGTCCCTGATCAGCCTCCTCCTTTGCTTGCAGTATCTTGTAGACTCTTACACATACTATTCCCAACAGAATCCATAGAGAGAGGGATTGAGTCCATCAGCAAAATGCACCCTATGAATGGAGACCAGAGACAAAGCACTAAGGAACTAGAAGCTTGGATGAATAGATTTATTCACAGACCATATAGTGAGGGAAGGAAATACACAAAAAGAATTACCAAAAAATCATAGTGACTGATTTTATTTACTTATTATGAAACTGTCCCTGGTAGAGCACCAGTAGTCAGCCACTAGTAGTCAGAACTTGATTCTCCCACTGCAGGAAAATGCAAACATATTTCTCTCCTTGGAAAAAGAAGTTATTTTTCCTGAATATTTGAGTTAGTCTTTTTTTTTTTAAACATTTTTTTTCCTGTTTTTTTTTTTTAAGGTTTATTTATTGATGCATACAGAACTGGGATACAAGACAGAGGTGCAGGGGCAGTGAGAGGATTCACCAGAGACAGAGTGGAGAGCAGAACAGGCAGATCGACAAAGTACACTGCTGAGGGGAGAAACAGGCGGGTCAGGAGAGGTCCACCGCACCATGTAGGTCACCTCCTGGCCATGGATCAAACTTGCACTGAAGTGGCTGCGGCCACCTTGCAGTGCTGCATCCTAAACCATTGCTCCACCAGGGAGGGCACTGATCCAGTCTCTTAATAATGAAATTAAAATAGGGGTAGTATTGCAGGGGCTTAAAAGAATAACAAACATACAATCTGGAATGTCTATCTTTTCTAATTCTACACTGAGTTTTTTAAATGTTTGTGCTAAAGTTGTGAATTTTGGATTTTAGTTGTGCAGAAATTCATCCCAGGAACTCAGACATAAAAGCAAATTGGAAGCCATTAACAAAATGCTAGAACTGAAGGAATCTCAAAGCAGCATTCTAAGTCATCCCCTTGTCCACTTGCAGTGCAGGGTGTTCGTTTGCTGGGGCAATAGAAATAATTTTAGAGTGGATATGGCATATTCACATGCATTAGCATCTTCCCATAAAGAAGGGTCAGCCCTCTCTCGGCATGTATAAGCGACTGTACATCTGCAGGGTTAAAGTGTCTCCTGCTGACAGATAGAATTGGCCAGTCACCCTAACATATCTAGCAGGTGGATCTCGTAGCCTCAGCATGATTCCTCTCATCCCGTCCTCTCAGGTTCTCAGGTTCTACCTCTGCAGGGACTTCTTCGCGCACCTGGCCATGCTGCTCTCTCTACCTGGAGGGCCAGATGTGGGGCTTCATTCAGCTGCCACCAAACAACAGCAACACAAGACAAGGGTGTAGAACACATCTCTTCTGAGGTGTGATAGTGAGAGGAGAGTTTCATCCAGACACAGGTTGATAAACAATTTAAAATAGATTTTTAAATGTGACACTTCAATATTGCCCCCACGGAATTTCTTACAGCTTCTTCCAACTTCTTTCCTTCCATATGGATTTTCCTCTTTCCATTATGTGGGACCCACCTTTTCATACCTCAGTGGTCCATAAAGTTTGCTTTTCTACAAACACATTTTTCTCTGGGAGGAATTTTGCCTCTAGCTTATACAGTTACATTTTTCTGCCCTAAGAATTGATAATTAGCATTAATCACAGTTTTAAATTAAAGTGCTATGTCTGTCTACTCTTGTGCTATGAAGGGACAGGTTCTCAAATTTGAAGTGTTTCTTTATGGCAAGCCAAAATTTTCAGAGCACATACATATTATACAAACACACACGTATGTACTTATATATGATGTCTCATATCTTTTTCTTATGGCCATACACTTTTTAATATAGTATTGCTTGCAAAAGAAATAGCTGCAGAGCAGAGATCTTTCCCAAAGTGGAATAATGTGTGTGTGTTGTATAAATATATATATATTTATATATATATATGAAAATCAATGCTTGTACATGAAATTTTAATGTAAAAAACAGGATTATATTTGTGTTAAGATTGAAGTACCTTATCCAAAAAGAATTTTTAAAAGAATAATAAAAAATAATAAAAACAAAAGCAAACAAAAAAGTTCTCCAAAAAGAATTTTTAAAAGAATAACAAAAAATAATAAAAAAACAAAAGCAAACAAATAAGTTCTCCAAAAAGAATTTTTAAAAGAATAACAAAAAATAATAAAAAAACAAAAGCAAACAAATAAGTTCTCTATTCAAATGATTTTCACCTATAATTTTGGTTATTGATTGGATCTGTTTGCTATTACTACATTAATGCTACTGGACAAATTTCCCCAAAACTCACCAGGTTTTATTGTCATGCATCAGCAGTGAGCTGGGAGTTAGCTGCTCTAAACTTGGCTTAGGGGTCCTTGGAGATCTGCTCCACAGTGCAAACCGGCTTCCTTTGCAGGCCAACTGGGCCATGTCTTTTTTGGTGCTGAAGCCGAAGCTGGGGAAGGCAAACTCCACCTCACAAGCCCACTTCAAATCTCTGATGACATTACCACCCCTCACATCCTGCTGGTCAAAGCAAATATCAGTGTAACACGGAAGAAAATTTCTCTCTGAGCTAAAGAGGGGAATGAATATTTGCTGAACGATAACTCAAACTATTCCATAAACTAAATATCATAGACCTGACTGCATGCATGCCCAACAGCTGTGCTTCTCCGCCAGCCCCATCCATCAGGCAACAATGATCATTTGCACCAGGCAGTGCTGTTAGTTAAATGCAAGGCCTGTCAGGCAAATAATCCATTCCTGCAATGCAGACTTTTCTCCCAGAAACCTGCATTTAAGACAAAGCTGACAACTTCTTTTAGCAGTTTTTTGTGAGACAATTATAGGGCAAGTCACTGAGCTGACCTAGTTTCTACAACTTAATGAGAATTATTTGCACCTTGCAATAAATTGTAACCCACAGATCTTGAGTGATCCTGTGTGCATGTATCCCGCAAAATGAGTCTTTGGAAGATCTAGATATTAAAATGGGCAATATTAGCAGTGCTAATGTTTTAAAATCTTAATTTATCTCATATTAGCTTATTTAAAGTATGTAATTCCAAACAATTGTTTTTGCTTCACCCTGTATTGATCCTTACAAAAATGCTGGAATATTGAAATTTTTCCTGTGCATGTCTCTGGTTTTTTGATTTAACGCAGAGGCTGGTAAAGTATATCTCTGTAAAGTTTTGTTAGTTCCCAATTCTGCCTGTTAGTTTACATGCCATCCATGGCTGTTTTCTCTCTGCAACAGCATCTTGAGAAGCTACAACTGAAATGGAATGGTTGCAAAACCTACAATATGTACTCTGTGGCAAACAAAAAAAAAAAAATGCAGCAATCCTGATTTAACATAATGCTGAACAGATGAAATTTTGGAATTCAGGTTATTCACACAGATCTAGGATGACTATTATCCTTCAGTAATCCTTAGGGAAAATTATTTGAGGGAAATCAGTAGTATAAGCAAATATTATACAATTCCAGCTAATTATTACTATTAATAATTTAGATTATGGGTGCTTATCTCCAAACAGGTAATTATACCAATTATAAATTTGCATCTGCCTGTTAAACAAGCCCCAAGAAATCTTACTGTTTTTTAGCTTTAAAAAAAAAACATTTTAAAAGATTTATTTATTTATGCATACAGAACTGGGGTACAGAGCAGAAGTGCAGAGGAATGGAAGGATTCCATTCCATGAGAGGATTCACCAGAGACAGAGTAGGGAGCAGGACAGGCTGGCTTCACAGCGCTGCACTTTTAACCGGTTGTGCCAACAGGGAGGGCCCAATTTTTTGCTTTTAAAGAGATAGCTTGATTTGTAATAAGTCTGTGTTTTTAAATATGTACTTTCATTACTTCAAACCTTTGTTAATATAGATTATTCTACTTTCATTTACACACATAACCTCTGAAATCATGTAGTCTGACAATATTGTTTTCATGGGTATTTATAAACGACAGTCGCTGGCTCCTTTCTAGAGGCTGGAGAGAACAACCTTTTGTCTTGCCAGTTGTCCATTCTTGGAGGTTGTCTGCCAGCGTAAGAAAAAAAGGATCAGTAACATTTATCAAGACTGGGAGAGAAAGCATAGATAGATTCCAAAAGTGAGTGTCAACACTGACTTGGTTTAGGCAAGTATGTGGAACCCAGAGTGGGGAATAATCTAGAGTTCTTTTGACTGGGTGTTGAATCAGAGTCAGATGTATGTTTCTGTGTTCTGGGATTCATTTAAGGCCCAGATAATACCTCAACAAAAGCCTGGATTCTAGAGGAGTTCAGTCCAACCTCTTCTCCACAGTGGATCTGCACTTAGAACTGTCTAGAAAACACAGGATTTAGACAGTGGATATCAAAGTTGAAAATTAGGTAGAAACAAGGGAGGTGCCCAGTGACTGCCCCGCGGGGCAGGGAGGAGCTGTGGAGGATCATCAGTGTCCTTTATAAGTCGCATGGTACTAGAATCTTCAAAATGACAGTTCGCCATCCATATCACCGAATGCACTTTGTTCAATGGCGCCTTTTTTCTTTCAGGTGTTGGATGGGAGAGTTTGCTGCTAAAGGGAGACGCAAAAACCTTAGGGGTCTTAGAAACATCCAGCGCAGACATGACTATCCAGGTAAGAAATCCTTTCCTCTCTCTTTTGATTCTCAAAGTACATCTCTAGAGAAAAGTGGGTCCTTGCTTCAGGGTGAAATGAGTCCTGTCCTCCACCCTGCTGGATTCACTAAGCCCTGAATCCTCGGTGAATCAGCAGGAATAAGTTTTCCTGAAATTCGGGATCTGGAATAGGAAACCCCCTGAGAATTCGAATATAAGATTTGTGGTTTCCGATGAGCCGGAGGTAGGATCTCCAGGGAATATCTACCCCAGAGGGTGTTAGTAAGTGGGGAAGTGGTGACCCCAGAGCGACTGTGAAGCAAACCTGAAATTTCTGAATTGTGAAATTGAACCCCACTGTGCATTGTGGAGAAAGGTCAGAGAGGCTGAAAGAGCTTTGATCTTGACTCAAGATTGCCACTGATGTCAGTGGGAGGGCAGCACGTAGCCCACGCCAGCTGGAACGCTCATAGCCAAAGCTTTACAAAATGAGTCATCTGGAAATCAAGCTAATTATCACGTTCAAATTAAATGGTTGAATTTGTAATCATCATCATCTAGATTAAGGAATCTTTTATCAGCACCCCAACCAGTTCCCCTTTTTATTACTGGATTAGAGACTAAGAAACAGTCCTCTTTTGGAATTCTGTTTACGTTTCAGTTAACAAAGACTGGGAGTGGGAGGGCTTTCAAATATTTTTGTTCGAATATAAATATATACCACTTACAGACATTTCTTGGAAAACAAAAAGTAATGTTATTTATGTTTTTGTTTTGTTTTGTTTTGTTTGTTTTTTAAAGATTTATTTATCTGTGCATACAGAACTGGGATACAGGCCAGAGGTGCAGGGGTCGTGGGAGGATTCACGAGAGACAGAGTGGGGAGCAGAACAGGCAGATTGAGGAAGTACACTGCTGAGGGGAGCAGCGGGCGGGTCAGGAGAGGTCTGCTGTGCCCTTTGCGTCACCTCCGGGGCAGGTGGAGATGGAACTCATGCGGAAGTGACTCTAGCTTCTTAGTGCTATGCTTTAACCTGTAGCGCCACCAGGGAGGGCCCATGTTCCTCGTTCTTAATGGCAATATAACTTGGGATATTTCATTCCTGGATGAATTAGTAGATTTGAGTGAAATATAAATATAAATTTATTCAGTCTTTCCTTTGTACTAGGAAGGCTGAACTTATGTCACCTATGTTAAAAAATGTTGGAGAAAGCAAACAAAAATACCACAGTGGAATTAAAAAGGTAGATAGTAACCTGATTGTTTTAAAAAAAATTTAAAAGGAAAAAAAATCAGCCTATCTAAATAATAAATAACTATCCAGTGCTGAAAATCCGCTACCTTATAATTATGTTTAGCAGAACTTGGAAGACAAAAATATAAATTACAATGCTGTATTGGTGTTTCACTGGTTATTGTGAAGACTGAGTAATCTATCACCATGTTGGATAGAGAGAAATGACTGTTGATAGTAAAATTGTATGGATTTAGATTTGCTATTTTGGACTCTATCTTCACTTTAAGAATTAAATTCTGTATATACCAGATATGAGTGAAACCATATGGTGTTTGTCTGGCTTATGAAAACAAACAGATGAACTAAATAAACTAAAAATAAACTTTGGGACTCTAAGCCAATTAGTGGTTACCAGAAGGAAATGAAGAGAGGGTGAGGGTAAATTAGGAAAAGGGAACAGACTTGGATAAGAAACATACATGAAGACAGAGGCAGAGGTGAGGGGGGTGGAGACCCAAGCTGAGGAACACATGGAGCTCCCTGCAGCTGGCAGAGCCGAGGCGGGGCAGGCTCTCCCCTGAGCCTTTGGAAGATTCGTGGTCTTGATACCTTGGTTTCGGACTTCCAGCCTCCAGGATTGTGAGAGAGTAAATTTCTGTTGCTCAAAGCTACCAGGTCTGTGGTAATTTATTATGGCAGCGCTCATAAACAGACGCAGCTCTGGCAAGAATGGTGTCTGCTCTTCCTGAACACCAACGCCCCTGAGGCTGGGGGGGTCCTACTATTCATGCCCACCACCATTTTCTTCATATACTATGCTTACTCTTCCCAGGGCGTTTTCACCTGTGCTTGTTTTAAGAGAACCACTAGCCTATTTTAGCATGTAGTGCCATTCAATAGAAGAAAAGCGTGGTCATATTTCAGGGGAGTGACTGTGTTGTATCTTACACTGTTTTGCTTCTTGTCTAGACAGTGATTAAAAAATTAAAAATGTGTCTATTAGTATTTTCTCAAACAGCATTTTGCCTGCACCCCTAGCTCCTTACCTGGCTATGAGAATCACCTGTAGCGGTGTGACAGGTAACAGAATACAGCCTCCCAGGCTCTGTCAAAATTAGATTCAGAAGGGCTGGGTTGGAGAATTAGCATTTTCACAAGTGCTCCAGGCCACTGTTAAGATCCTATCCCCTATCCGTTTGGGAAGGTGGCCCAACAACATTTAGGCATGGCCACAGCACCAGGCCCTCCAGCTGTCCAGCTCTGGGACAGGATGTGGGACTTCTCTGTTCAAATCCTTTTGATTATGTTCCTTTGAACACCGGCAAAGGCTGCTCCTGACATTCTGATGTCCTCATTATAGCCACGATTTCATTTCTAGTCCTATCTGCCACCACATCTCTCTCTGCCCATTCTTGCCCTCTCCACCCAGATTCCTTGAGCCAAAGTGATCTTTGAAAAAGGCCAATCTGGGGCCTTCCCTGGTGGTGCAACAGGTTAAAGCGCAGCACTACGAAGCTAGCTGTAGCTGCTTCAGCAGAGTTCAATCCTGGCCCCAGAGGTGATGCACAGGGCACAGCAGACCTCTCCTGACCCGCCCTCTGCTCCCCTCAGCAGTGTACTTGGTCAGTCTGTCTGTTCTGCTCCACACTCTGTCTCTGGGGAATCCTCTCACCACCCTGCACCTCTGGCCTGTACTCCAGTTCTATATGCATAAATAAATAAATCTTAACAAAATAAAAAGGCCAATCTGACCATGTCCATTCTCTCCTCCAAGCTGGCCTGCCCTCACGTTGTTCTTAGAACCAAGCGCACACTCCCTTGGGGGTTGTACTTTGTAAAATGCCACAACTGCTCACAGCTTCCTTGATTTTCCTCCTCTCCCTTCCTCTGTCCCCAGCCTGGCTAACTTCACTTTATATCCCAGTCTTTGGTTCAGATACTCAGGCAGCACTTTCTGACCTTGGGTGTCACATGAGCCTGTAGAATCCAGCACTGCTCCTTCCTAGCCAGTCACATAAATATGCACCCCGGTCAGTGCATGCCAGCCCAGATTCCCTGTGCCACATCATTTCCCTCGAGGTCTGCATCCCAGCACCTAGCCAGAGGCTAACTTGGGGACAACTATCACCACTGGAGGAACAACTACTTGAAGGAACAAATGAAGGTCAGTCTTTGCTTAACTTCAGCTGGAACTGCTGACCGTCCTCACACCTGGATTCTTAGCTCAGGGTCTTTCTCTCGTGTCCCTATCCCTGGTCCCACATGCCACTCACTTCAGCTGTATTTGTCTTTCACTTGTTTGAGCCTTTAAATTACAGTTCATTTTCCTTAACATTTTTTTTGGGGGGGGGCACAATTTTATCAAGGAATTTATATGCCATAAAGTTCATCATTTTAAGTGTGCATTTCAGTTCATTTTAGCAAATTTACTATCACTGTAATCTAGTTTTATGACATTTTCTTCACTCTACTAAGATTCCCTCATGCCCTAATATAGGTAGCCCCCCATCCCCACCCCGATCCCCGCCAATACTAACCTACTTTTAGTGCTATAAATTGGCCTGTTCTGGACATTTTATATAGATGGCATCACACAACACGTGGCCTTTTATGCAGCTTTTTCCCACTTAGCATGGTGTTGGCGGTTCATCTGTAGTGTAGGCTAGCAGTGTTTCGTTTCATGAGCATTTCATCTCATGGCTAGATCGGTGCTTGGCTTTAGCCCATTCCCAAGTTGATGGGCTTATGGGTCATTTCCACTGTGGAACTCTTAGGAGAAACACTGCCATGAATATTCACTGCAAGTCTCCAGGTGGACATGCATTTTACTCATTTTGGGCGTGCACCCCAGGAATGGACTTGCAGCGTTGTATAGTAAATCTCTGTTAAACTTGTTGAAGAATGGCCCGATTGTCTTCCAAAGTGGCTGACCCCATTGGCAATGGATGAGGGTTCTAATTGTTCCATATCCCAGCCAATACCGGCTATTATCTGTAGGACCCAGCTTAGTGGATCTGAAGTAGCATTCCATGGTTTTGACCTGCATTTCCCTGGTGGTTACCCAGGCTGAGTTTCTTTTCATGTGCTTATCAGGTGGGTTCTGTTATTAAATGTTCCACCACACTCAGCATCCTGTCATTGCAGGTGTTCAATGTTCCTAACCAAGGGACTCCCTTCTTGACGTTGGGGAGAGGGTTCTCAGGCCACTTGTAATCCTGAGGGTCACTCCCATCTCCCTGGTTTGTCGCAGGTATGTGGGGAGAGGTGGCCCATTAACCTTCTTTCCATTTATTTTTTTTCCTGGCTGGCTATTTTCCCTTCACAGCTTTTTGCTTTAATTTAATCATTGTCACTAATCTATTTGTGTTATGTATTTTGTGATAAAATATACATACACTATACCTAAAATATATATAACAAAATTTATCCTTTCAATCATTTTTAAGAACACATTTTGTGAAATGATGTCATTCATATTGCTCTGTAACCATTCCTGCTAATACTCCTAGAACGTCTTTATTACCCCAAACAGGAACTCTGTTGTGTTTAAAAACTAATTCTTTTCTCCCTTCTATTAGCATTAATTCCCCATCCCCTCTTGCCTCCAGCTCTAGACAACCTCTCAGTGTCTTATTTTATATGTAACACCCTCTAGTTGTCTTCCTAGCGGAACTTTAAACACTTGTATTTAATAGTAAACACACCAGCAAGATGGCTAAAGCCCAACCTAGTATGTTAATGTCCCGTGGAGAGGCAAGCTAGCAAGGCAGTCACTTTACAT